TAAAAAATTAAAATATACCACGGTTTTGAATTACTTATAGAAAAAGGGGAGAAAAAGCATTTAATACTTTAATAACATTTTAAAAATTAACGACATTCTCAAATTTCAATCTATTTCCGTTAAGTTACATGCAGTATTTCCAAGATATTAACGTTTCATCTAACGTACAAGTCGAGATTTAATTATTCCATCGACTGGAAAATGATCTCATTACGATCGAAACGAGGAATAAGTTGATAAACAAAGTTAGTTAGTTAAATATTGCCTCTTTGATCTATTCGAATTCGTCACCTTGCGAATAACAAGCAGCGCCGATCTCTTGCAGTTATTGACGTGAAATGTATCGGATTAAATTATAGGGTGAGTCGAAAGGAAACCGAGATTCGGGCTAATTATTAGTCAATTCCGCGTCAAATGATGTATATCAAAATCCGAGCAAATATATCCTTCTGTGTTGTAAATAAAACGTCGAGCGATTCTTAAATGTCCTTGCGGTTGGTTGTCATGTTAGAAACGTAATCGTCGTGGAGATTTTCCGAGGAAATTCAAATTCAAACGGCTCATTTCGTTAGTACATAGCCTTTTTGAATGTTTTATTTAGGGACCTTCTCCGCGGAGGAACGTAAAATGTTTGAATTCGAATCCGCTTGAACAAAAACAAAGTGAATGAACGAAAGATATCCCAACTTTTATTTAAAGTTCTCCGAATTCTTCCAATTTTCGGAGGCTGCGGTGGGAATTTCCGAGCGCCCGCAGGAATGATATTTTTCCATGTAACGCATATTTGGCTCGAATGTATCTAAATTCAATAAAATTATTATACACCTGATTAAAGGATATATTTTTTTTTAATTTGAATTATTATGCCAAAGGGATAGATCGATTTTTTTATATTTGTTTAAGTACGCCATGATTCCTATTTAAAGAACGTTCACCGGAGGATTACTACATAATAATTCTAGTAGGTATTACAGTAAACACATTAAATTTTTATTAGCGGGTTGTCGTGTATGTGGGGGAATGGGCAACTTCTAACTTCTCCTGCTGTTTTACTGCAATACCGCAGGTGAAACAGCTGGTGAATTCATAAATATAGAGCGTGCTTTTACATCGATTTGTTCTTTACATTGAACTCCACGCCTACTGTAAATGCGAAATTTCCTTTGATACCAATTACCGATGTAAAATTTTAAACGCCCGATTCGAAATGCTCACACACACAGGAAACTTTAAAAAATTCAAAACCCGCCGATTTTCGATAATCGAACGGGCGTTATACACATGGAATATCAAAGATTTTTGTATAGCCTCTGATTCCGACGTATTCGCCGGGTTTTTTAATAGAAAATCGGAATATTAAACGGGGGAAATGTTTGAGATTTCGAAAAAGGAACGTTCGCGGATTAATTAATGCCGGATTCGAATCGCTAATCCCGTAGATTCGTATGAAAAGCGCTTTTCGACATTTTCAAATCGGCGAATTAACTTTGTGTAATCAGATTCGCAAAAAAGCTCCTTTTGGTTTCGCGTAGAAATTTTATTCCAAAGCAAATAAAATTTAAGTAAATTGTAATTGCGTTTTTTTTTTTAGAATATTCAGATTCATTTAAAAGAGAATATCGCATAAAAGTTACATTTTTTATTTTTAATTAAAAATTACTTTTCCCCTGTAACAAAAATACTTTGGATGACCCAGATTGTACCCACATAAATTGTACCCATGATAATGGCAAATGACAGTTAGTTTCATTATTCTAAGCAATTAATCTCTGTATCTTATTTCAAATTTTTTTAATTAAGTTCCTCTCGTTATAATGCAAGAAGCGAAGCGGGAATGACAGCAAAAATATTTCATAAGAAGATTTGGTTGTAACAGCAAACGAAAATGACCTTTGGAATTTATAGCCCCTAGGAAAATAGATATAAATCCAGGACAGGAAGACAGCAGAAGGACATAAATACGGAGAACAACAGCAAAAAAATGTTTCATTTCCAACTCTCGTTTTAAAGTAAAGAAAAAGCGGCTTTATTAAGAGCCCATTAAAAAAATCTAATACAGAGAAAAAGCTTTGTCGAGAGAAATGTTCCCAATCATTATTAGAGATACCTACATGTTCTTATTGTTTCCTACATTTATTTCAATTCTTATCTCTTATACCAACATGTCTCTTTTATCAAAGTCGTAAGACCCTTTTAGCTTTATACAAGTAAGCAAGGAAAAGTAAAGTACGGGAATTCTTCTCGGAAAAGTTGAATTTTTTCTAACTGATTATAAAAAGTGCCTTCCATAAGAATGCTAATATTGTTTATTCCAATAACTATTGCGCATGCCTCCTCTGTAGCTATTTCATGTTTATTGTAGGTATAACTATACTTCACGCCTAGAAATAGAGAACCGAGAGACGGATATTAGTCAGATTTGTAGTGATATAGGATAGGTATAAGTCATGACAGGCAGGAAATCAGGCATTGTGCGAGCGCGATGATGGTCAAACGGAAAATCTTGCTCTTGTCGAGATCGGTGACATCGAATGGATGAGCCGGGAACGAGGTTTGACTGCGAATAGAGCGGAATTTGAATTTCGGCTATACACAGCTACGTTGTTCTGATGGATCCAATTAAAATTAATATTGTTAGAATCGTCGAATTCCCGTCATATCTGCTTCATTTTACTACGAACTAATCGGACGGTTAAAATCGAGTTAATTCCTGTTACTGATGAATTCTACATACATTATTATTTAATAAATAATTAAATTAAGAAGATAACAATGGTTTATAAAAGTCAGGGGGTGCTATAGGCGCCTAGTAACTTGATTTTCATGTATTTTACCTATCAATCAGCTAATTTCCTACAAAAATACGGCGATCGCTCAAACTTGCTTACACGAACGCAACCGTGGAATTTGATAAATTGTTCAATTTGAAACTCAGCGTCATCCTGTATCCCCGGAACACCCAGTTCGGATACAATGGAGTCGGATTGTAATAACATGTGACGCTTAAAATCCAGTAGCTTTACCTCTATAACCTCCCTTTTAATTAACGATATAAATCAAACGCCAGGAGGAACATCATCATTTACACGTTAAGTAAAATTTATCGGCACTTGAACATAGTTTCGCACTAGGTGATTTAGGTGTAGTTTTCTAATGTAACTTTAATACGGGTTTTTTGTGTTGTAAGGAGTGTGTATTACCGCTTAATTAATTGCTGTATTAAAATACTAATTACTTACTTAGGTATTTGCTGAAATTGGTATTAGCGCAAATATTTATTTTTGGATTAGTATTGATATGCGTGGAATAATGTTTGTTTTTAAGCATAAGGCGTGTGAGAAATTGGCGTGTTCGGAAACAAAGTCAATTTTAACGAACCTGAAACGCTAAGAGAAAATAAATTAGGTTAACTAAAATCGAGTTAAAATGAATGAAAAGCCGGGCTACGAATATAATGGCAGGAAATTTGCATGTTTAGAGGTAGCTTATTGGTATTTCTCGACTTGAGACAAGCTTCCTCTTACTGTTTCGTAACATAATACAACGCATTAGTGCGATACACAGGTATCAAAACAAACGATTTTTGGAACAGAACAAAATGCAATTAAACATCTCTCTTAATTATCAAAAAGACCCTGCACAAACTATCATAAAATAAACAGTTTCCGTTTTATTCCGGTCGAATTTTATCCGCAAACACGAGACGTTGCGGTCTCGCAGTTTAAACAGAAATCCCATTTGATAGATAGGCCTCGGGCTATACAGAGCACGTTAACAAATATTGTTAGTGGCCTAAAACTACAGCATTCGATAAAATCAATGTGAAACAATACCGGGCTAAAGCTCTCCTCCTGCTATTTGCATAAACCCCTTGACAGGAAGAGTTGAAGCTCGCAATAAGCCGTACGCGTATTTGTCGTGCAAATGCAAGTACTTATTGAGGTTTTGGGTTTAATTGATGCGCTCCAAATGATTGGAGTACATTAGTAGGTAGGTATTTCGATTTACAGCTGTTGTGGTTAATTACTAACGAGGCACATCGCACGAAAGATTATGCTCTTTTCATGTTTCGTACGGAGCTCTCACGAATATCAAGGTTTGTAAATATTTTAAAGGTTGACTCGAAGCACGAAATACGTGACGTCACATACTTTGTATTTTCAAGATTGATTACTCGAGGATTTAAGCTCTCTCTGACCTCATCTAAATTGCATCTGATTCTAAAGGCACATATAAAGGTTTGTTAATGCAAGAATTCTTTAGTAAAAGCTTTGGCTACAAATTTGTGTTTATGAAAACTGTTACTTGAGCAATCCTTGCATGCGTATACTCTTCTTGGGTTTTATGCTGGATCCTTAGACATAATTAAGTTAAGTATAACGTCTCACAGCGATTAAACGGCTAATTCGTAAATTACCTAATTGACCTAGCGTGTGGTTAATCGTATCAAAATTGTGACTGTTTTTTATTTAATCAAAAACGAACAAAACATATATTGAAGGTACAGATAATTAATTTAGTCCGCTAAATTAAAAGGCGATCGAGAGTGGAGCGCGATTAAAAGTTGGAAATGAAGATCCCGATTTTCCTTAATTGACGGGTTCATGTAACGAATTTAGTTAATAGCAGTTCGTAAAAGTTTTATCAGGAGAACAATCGGAGCAATAAAGAAACCAAACCCTCGTAATGTGGGTATGAGAATCTTTTAGCAGGATGAAGAAGGGTCAATGATGGGGAATTGTACGAACTTATAATTGTATTAGAATTTTTTTTGTACAAATTTTTAATAATGTAAAATTTGTTTTTAATTTTTTGGGGTAAATTACTGATATTAAAAGTTTCGATATTTTTGGAGAATAAATAAATGTATAAAGAATTATAAACTTACTACTTTCTTAACAGCCCAAATTAAAGACTTTTAAGAAGTTTTCTTTCACTAAAAATTTTATTAGAGATAAAAATAAATCAGACAGAAAATTATTAAAGTGAAAAACGCTTACCGGATAAACTGCCGGAACATCTCGCCGTTTATTTTTTTTTTGCCTGTACAAACTTGAAAAGAAACTCCTACGTTACTTTTTTATACTTTCCGACGATATCGTACGCATTAGGCCGTAATTCCCGCGCCGGACGGATCCACCCCAGCTCGCGAGTTCCGTCGACAGACTGCTGATGTCGTTTTTGTTGAAAACGACATTGTGCGAAGAAAACTCCGAGAGTAAGGGTGCGCATGAGTTTGATCAACAGCGGAACCCACGGGGGTACGGAGGAACATCGCGTTTCATGATCAATTATCTAAGTTGTTGTTATTTCCTAGGTTTCTTTGTAGATTTTTCGCGTGTCCTTGTCACGGCTATTCGAACAGAAAGGATGTTTTATGACACGCCAATGAAAGGTTTATGGCTTTTTGTATAACCCACATACTGATAGATAAACTGACTCCCTTAGGTGACTAAATAACTCTCACCGGTATGTTTTTTAATTAAATTAACACTAACCTAGACCAAAAAAAAAAAACAATAGTAATAAAAACAAACAATTAGCTAAAAACATTATTCTTTTTGGGAGAAAATTATGGAGCTTTGCAAATTTCGGCTGGTGTAAGCAAGAGAAAGTTTCGGGTTACTTTTGCATTAGTAATTAAATTTTATTCGGGCACATTAGAATGGAATTTAACTATCCATTTATGAGGGAGAGAGAGAATTAAATTATGCTGACCTAACGTGCTTGAGGTAAATTACTTGGAAGCGCCGGTAATGGAGAATGTAGCCTTTTCTCTCAGGACCCTCCATAATAGAGGGTGAACACAGAAAGTACAAAAAAATGTCTATTGAGGGATATTATATTTTACCTTTCCTACGTTAATACGAAAATTATGTTACTGGAATGGACTCGTCGAATTTCAATTTTATCCTAGAAAAAAAACTTGAGAAATAAGCCAGCTTTCTATTTAGCACTTTAAATTGTAGCAATCTGTGGTAGCTTCGCAGATGAAATGGTTACTCCTGAGACACGTGACGTCGTTCCATGTGAAACCGTTTGTCGTAAACCAAGCTCCTTCTATGCAATTTTCCGAATCGGTGTTGTTCGGTTCTCCCGCGTCCCATTTGAAGTAGGTTATGAGGTGGCCTGTCGATGACCATACCTGAAATATACGAGGCGTCGGTAATTTTCGATTCCCTGTTCAGTAGTTCACTATTTTCGTGCTCTTGGGAAACCATCCCATAATGGGTTATGAAGTTTAATATAAAGAAGAGAGAAACCTACCCATCTGTCAGGCCTGTCTCCTAGATTCGTGGCTGCTGTCCAATAGCGATTACCATTTAAACCTACAAAATAATTGTGTGAATAATTATTTATTTCAACTAAATAGTACATTACCTTTTTCTTTTAAATATTCCTCGATTTTCTTGTTTTCCGCTTCAGAAGTTATAGTAAGTAATTGCATTCCCTGTTGTCGACAATAATGCATTGCTTTGTAATAATTTGTCTAAGAAATAAATTAAAATTACACAACTGTACTAATATTGATTATATAAAGTACTTTTTAATAAATTCAATTACCTTAAAAACGGTATCCACGTAGTACGTTTTTCCCACATAATTAAACCAGTTTGTGGTTCTCCTGCTTTGAAGATACTGCGAGACATATTCCTCGTTGTGTACACAGGCACAGAGGAAACATAAGGAGAACGAAATTGTTAGAACTAATTTACTGAGCATTACTGTTTAATGCAATCGTTTCAAGTCGAGAAATATCAATAACATTTATGAACATTTTAATTACATCCCAGAGGTTATCGCGCTTTAATGTTAATAAACATTTTTAATTAATGTCTAGATATCTACACTTATTTTTTGTTTATGTATTTTTAGTTATTTAAATGTTTAAAACATTGTTATTCTCTGAGCGCATATTAGAAGAGATTCAGCATATATAAACAAGTTTAATTCAAATGTATACTGATCAATTTGAACTAAGAAAAACTGGAGAAAAAACTAGGTTTTTGGAGCCAAAAGCTGGTTTCTAGATCTCTGCAGGTTTTTATTGTATCGTTATGATCAACAATGCAAGTTATGACAATCTGAGGTTGCTTCGCATATAAAAAATTTGTCAGTTCTCGAGCATTCCAAGTCATTCCAGGTGAATCCTGCTGTGCCGAACCATCCTACTTCTATGCAATTTTCCGTATTGTTATGTTTGTTCGGTTCTCCTGGGTACCACTTAAAAAATGTAATGTCATAGCCTGTCGATAGCCAGACCCATTTGTTTGCGGTTGCTAAATTAGTGGCTGAGGTCCAAAACCTGTTATGAAGATATCCTAATAAAATAATAAATACCAGTTGTATTCGATCATGTGTAACTTTGTTATGTTTAAAGAGAGTGGAGATTTTCACTCACTTACCTTTATCTTTTACGAATTTTCCGATCCGTTCGTTTTCTGCTTCACTATTAATACTTAACAATTGCATTCCTTGTTGTCTGCAGAATTGCATTGCTCTGTAGAAATTTGTCTAAAATAAATTGCAGATATTTTATCTATTGCTTATAAATAACCTAACTTTTGATGACCATATTACAACACATTAATAAAGTAAATAATTAACGAACCAATGATGATTTCACTTTTACTTTGCCATGGGATATGAAGGTTAATATTACACAAACTACATCTAGTTATTTAGAATTCTATTAATTACCTGAAAAATACTATCAACATAGTATGTCTTTCCCAAATAATTGAACCAATTTACATTTTTCCTAGTGTTCAACACTGGTGAAACGAATTCTTCTTGTGTTTTCACATAAACAATACACGTACAGAGAAAAATTACACCTAATATTGCTTTCAGACTCATCATAAACCACTAAAATATACACATCAGAATTAATAAAATATGTAGAGATACCTAGTTGGAAATTCCCAATGTCTATATTTTGCACAAGCTTGTATCTCGGTTATACGGTATAAGCGTTATCGAAGATCAAAAACAGAACGACGCGATGAAGACGAGTTTGTTTCTTTGACCTATACAGGGTGTTCCAATATATTTTTTAACAAGATGCTGTGTATATTAGAAGATCAAGGTTGCCCTAATAAAAATTTTACGGGCACCTCTCTGTATAATAATGCTGCAGGATTACTAATTATAGCGTATTTATTAACTAACTGCGTTCTTATTGATTTCTTGTTATCAGTTATTAATGATAACTTATTCGGAATTTCCTTCTATTAATTTTAATTTTGAAATTATTTAATCTTTAGTCATTTTATTTAAAGATTATTTAAATTTACATCATACATGTAATTTTTATACCAAGAAGAATAAACGTTAACATTGTGAGAACTTTTTAGAACAAGTAAACAGGACAAAGAAATTGCTAAAAATGGGACACACTAAAGATTAAGAGTAAGATAGTAAAGGAACTATTGAATCAGGTATAAATATATATTTGATAAACATAATAAATCAACAATAAATCCTCTAAAATAAATCATACGACATTAATCTATATCAGAAAGTAGAGGTTTGAACTGAGGATTTTCGATACAAAGTGAAGACAACCTCGACCAATTATCCATTTGGTCGTAGTTTGGTTCGTTCTGAACATCACCAGGTAAATCAGGTAGCAGCATCTCCGTCGGTTCATCTTCAATGAGCTTGTTTTTCATTTCTATGATTTCCTCCCCTTCTTCCACCTCTTTATCGTCATTATCATCTTCGTAGTTATCCTAAAAGCAACCCGATAAATACACGCAATCCATAACTTCTTGCAAAATTACTTGAGCCAAAGGTGTAGTGGATTTGTACTGGAAAGCGCTGTTGGACAGATCCACTTCGACTGGAAACAGCTGTGGACCGCTGCACAATTCGAACGTCTTCGAATGAAGCTCCGACAAGCCGTGGATAATTTTCACCAAATGACCTCCGAGCGATTGGACGTGTTTGTTATCCAGCAATTCCATTTTTACCAAAACGTCGGCCCTGAGCTTGGCGAATCGCGCCCTGGCTAGCTGGCGACAACGAAGAATCAGTCTGCAACCAATAGGAACCAATAGACCAATAGAATTTTTTATTGATGTAGACGAGCTAAGGTCTTGCTACTATGCTTTCTTTCAAATTCCTAACCCACCTGTATTCATAATTTCCAGTTTCCACTCTGTATAAAGGTTCTTGTAAGGCCGCGTAACTGCACTCTTCATCGTCCATTTCTTTAACTTTCAAGCAATAAGCTAAATATTCGAATTTAGCGTCGGCGTATTTTTTCACTGTCAATCTGGTATCAGGTATAGCTTTGTAGAGGTAAGTTCCGACATCTGATAATACCTGAAAATATGATTTGTAATTTTTGTGTAATTTATCAACGAATATGCTTACCGGTTTGACTTTCTTCACCATTTCCATTCCGGCTTTTTCAATGTTCCTGTGTTGTTCGCCGAACAATCTGAAGGCTTCACTCGCTCTTTCTTGGGGTTCCCTCACCGCGATTCCGGAGAAAACTTCCCCCATGGCTTTTATAGCTTGCTGCAGCTCCATGTGCGCCTGCAAAATATAGCATTTTAACATAAATCATGTATCAACTATCTTATATTACCTGTAGCATTCTTTTGCAATGATCCACCAAGCCCCTGTACATAACTTCCGTATCTTGGAGTTCCTGCATCTTCTTCACCAACGTGTCGTTACATAAGATAGCCCTCGAGAGTCCCAAAGCGTCGGCTGTAGACGAGCTCATGTTTTCCACCAATCGATGTTTCATCTTCTTCATTATGATATCCAGGCTTTTTCCTTGCTTCGGATCGGCGTGCAATTTGTTGTAGTTTATCACCACTTCTTCCTATATCAAGAGAATGGTTAATAAATTATCTAGTATTAGTAGGAGATAGAAATGAAAGTTCCAATGAATGGTCTTTCGAGGAAAAACATATTACCTTCGCAGCTTGGATCATCTTGGCGACTTCGACTTTGGTTTTTCCTTTCACTGATTGTCCATTTACCGAGACCAGCTCGTCGCCGGATTGAAGGGTGCCGTCCCTGGCGGCGGCGGTGTTATCGAATATTTGAACGATGTACAAACAGGGGCACAGGGGCGAACCGCCCCCGATGCTTATACCGATCAGGTTGTTGTTGTCTTTGCGTATGGCGACACTGCCCGATGTTACTGTCATGCCCCTAAAAAAGAAGTACGAAATCATGTTAATAAAAGGGATTTTATGTGGGTATAAGCGCCTTTAAATGTGAAGAAGGGTTGAATATTCGGCGTTTACAATTCCTTCCGCATTCGCGGTTTAGAATTTTTTTTGATAGGCATTTTTGGACGATTTAATCGTGTGATGAAAGTGTATGTTGCAACATTCTAAATGTACAGGGTGTTGTTATTGAGCTGTGTAGAGTTTACGTCAAATAAGAAATTGTGACTTCTATGATGAATTAGCTATTTACATGCATAATAAGAAAGTTTATAATTCAAAAAATTTTTATTCGTGCATATTTACTATAGTTTCAATTCTATAAAATCTTCAAAAACTCAATTTTGTTCACACTAGTCGGTTTTATTCCTAAAAACTTCAATCAAAGAACACAACTAAAATTAAAATTTTATTTTATTGGTACAAAACCTAAGAAACAAGCGTTTTACTAAACTAATAATTCACAAGCCTTGTAAGTATAAGCCACACACTCTAGGTGATAATTTTTCACGTATCCTGCAAAAACAAAATAGTCATATTCGAGAATTATCATATTAATTTTACAGTCTTACCTACAAAAAAAACGTTCTTCATCTAAATTTTATATCTAGCTTTACTAACTCTTTTACTAAGTCTTGAAGGTGCTCAGTGCTAAACAAGCTCTTGCTGCTATACCTAAACTGTCTAGCAAAATATAAAAATATTCGCAGTACTAAGTGATGTGAATAAAAACCCTTGTGTAAATTACTTACATTGTGTTTTCCTTCAGGTGCAACTCAATAGGGCACAAGTCGAATTGAATCACCTCTAATTCAGGTGTAATCGACGAATCATCGCCGGTTTTGGGCGAATCTTCGTTGAGACTGGGAGAATCGACGGGTTTTGGAGCTCCATTTTTATTCTCTAAACTAATAATTTCTGTTATTTGCTAGTCCACAGAAACGATACTAATCAAACGGATGTTGCTAGTCAAGAAAATAATAATAACTAATGTGTAAACTATAAATGACGGTTAATTAATTATTTTTACTAGTCAATTGGCCTTAACTAAGATATTGAAACTTGAATGTTGGGATGGGAAATGCGAGTTTTACTTACAATTTAAGAAGTAATTCTTCGGATGAGGACTCCATTTTAATTTATATCACTATTTTCACCTGGAATTTGTTCACACGATAGTAGAATAAATCGATTTCTGCAGTTTAAAACTTTATCTACAAAGGTTCATTAACAGATCGTAAAACACACGTAAATGAATGATTTACACAGTGTACCTACCTAATTATTAAAATTATTTACCGGTTAAACGAGCGTCAATTAATAAATATTGTTAGCTGTACTTTTGTGCTAATTTACCTAAATAATCGTGCATTTTTATTAAATAAATAATGCGAAAATGCGCTTAAAAATAAGCAAAAAAGTCAAAAATGTATAGATTTATGTATAGGGAATGTATAGGGAAGCCAATAAACAAATACAGTATGCACAACTTTAGGTAATTTATAAATGAAAATAATAAATTTAAAAATAAAAAAAAATACTTTACAGGCGGTCTTCATAATGGAAGCTTTGGTATATTGAATAATACTGCGGTGGATACATGGAATTTAACTCGAAAAACATGGTGTAGGTAAAAAGTCAATATTTTCAGGCGCTATAACTAAAAAAATAAAAAGAAAAATGAACAAAATTGAAGCCAAAATAACGCTATGAAAATCTATAATGCACTAATTTTGAAGTTGGCGGTAGAATATGTCGGGTAAAATATTCTAAAAAGTATAAAAATATTCTTTAAACCTATTTTGTCCTATTTTATGGAACACATTCACTTTAATTTATACAGGGTGTTCCATGACAATACCGAGAAACATCTAGTAAATATAATAATTTCATTAGTTGAATATTTTTTATTAAGTTAAAAAGAAATAAAAAAATGTACCCACTTTCTGTCCTCGTACCAATAAGTCTCATCCACATCAAAATTGTAATTGTATATGAAAGCCATTTCGCCGTACGTGTATTCAGGAAAACGCGACATTTTCAGTAAAGAACGCACAACAAACTTAAACGAAAATATTAGTAGTCTCGAATATTTATTTACCGATTAGCCTTCCATAGTAATTAGGTAGTAGTAGCTGTAGATAATTTGCATATCAATTAAGATAAGAACACAAACCACCAGAAAGGCGAAGTAGAAGTGTAGGAAATGACAATGTAAATTAGCTTGTGTAATTTGTAAACAAATAAACTAAATAAAATCATAAAAAATCAGAACGAAATTGATACACAAATAATGAAAAGAGTACTACAAAAAGGGATAAATTGTGTAAAATTCGAAATAAATATTTTTTGAAAAAGCTTGATAATTAGGTACTTCTTAAAAAAATTGTTAAAAACCTTTTTATAACTTAAAAAAAAACCCTTTTATAAATTGCTAGAAAATGATAGGACCCCTAATTATCCGTACTAATTAGAATATTTTAATTATTTCTTTTCAACAAAAACTCAATACTCAATTAACCATAAGCAATTAGTGCATTATACTTTCCAAACGAACTCAAAAAAATAGTGCCGATCGATAAACATATAACCTAAAAAACTACTTACATTTTATCCTCTTCCAAAAAGTAATCAAACTCTAAATCCAACATAGCTATATTATAATCCGTCTTAAAATGCTACAAAATCCTTGTTGAGCGATAATTTCGAAGGCGACTACCTATAAAAATAGAAAAAAATACAACACAAACTAAACTAAACCGACGAATTCTAGGTGATAAGGGTTTTTCCTTATCAATTCCGGTGAGTTGATGGCGGAAACGTCATGCGTCGCGACGCGAAAACGTCATGTTATCGATCGGTTAAGAAAATCTTCCTCCTATCGCCATCTATCGTTTGCTTTGTTTAAACATGTCGAAAATTTAGAAGAAACCAAGGGGCACACATGGTAGGGATTAATAAAGGCTGTAAATCGTATCAAAATTATTTAAATCATTCATAAGAAAGTTAAATATTAATGATAAGCTTTATTATATTATTAGAATACCTGTATTTAGGCAACTCAGTAAACTCTTACGTCATAAACCTGGCCTTTTTTTTTACTTGAATGCATTAAAAAAATCAAGCGAAGAGGATCCATCAAATTTCTTTATTAAACTGCATAAAGTCTATAATTCATATTTTTATACAATATCTACAAGATGATACGGAGAAATTTAAATTTTTATATGTCATTAATGATCCTACAAGTCCTACATTCAATGCGTACTTTGAGTACAGAACATTATAGTCTTATAGGTAAGTAAGTAGTAAGAATATAAAAAAAGTAGGGAAAAATTTGCGCTAAAAATAATAGTATTTCTAAAAGTTTTATGGACGTTTCGATTTTTTTGGCACCGAAAATGAAGTGAGTATTTTTTACCTAAAATCTAACAGAAAAAAAGTTTTATAACTATACAAAATAGAATTTGAGCGGGTAATTTTAAATTCTAAAAGGCTGCGTAAAATGTTAGTATTATTAAAAAAACGGTAAAACAATTATTAGGGTTTATAAAATTTATGGTACAATATTATACAAGTTTATTAAAATTTTCGCAGGATGTTTTTCCGAAATTCTCGAAATTTTAGCGTTTTTAACAAAACATTTTCCAGTTGATTATTTCGTATAAACTTAAATAAGAAATGCATATTAAAAATTATACATTAAATAATTGTGCAATAAGTAAAATTATTAGGTAAATAAAGGTGAATTTTCAAAAGATAACGAGAAAATCAAAATCACTTTTATAGCTTTCAAAATCGCACTAAACAACATTATTCTCAAAAAACTAAGTATCTTTGGTATAAAGTAGCTTTACCTCACAAAAAAAACACTATTAATAATAAAAATTATCTGCGATTAACAAATTATAAAGTAATTAAAATTATTTCGATGCTGTGCAGATAAAAATTAAACTATAAATATACAAACTTAGAGCTTTGGTATATTCCCTAAAATAATTTACGTTAGAATATTATTAATTCAGAAAATAATTCGAACATTTTTTTCGTTTCACGATTATTTGTACAACAAAAATATTTTTATTAAACTAACCGAAACATTTTTTCGAGAACAACCATATATCATAAACAGTTTCTTCCTTATCGCTAAATAACGAATTTTAACAATGAGAATTTTCACGATATGTTTCAGAAACATTTAACATTCAACATTTTTTAGTAGTGTAACTATTGCGTTTAATTAGAGGGAGAAAAGCCAATTTTATTCGAATAAATCCCACCACATTTTCTATAGAAAAAAATACTTTTTGGAAAACGTGGCAAGAGTTATGTGACAAGAACAAAATAAAGCTTCACACAGAAACGACATAAAAACATAAACCGCATCGAAGACAAAATTTCGGTTATTTCTTCGTAAAATTTTTCAATCGGCAACAACACAACGTATCCAAATTCGAGTCGTATCCAAAATTATTCACAAAAGTTCCTCGTCTTTCCGATCGGGCTTCGAGTCCTGTCGCTTCCTCTTCACAGCTGCATAGATAGAGGCCGCTTTGTAGTCGATGGGACCGTAAGGGTTGTATTCGGTGTCAGCATAGATGAGCTCGCATGGTTCGGGGCGAAACGGCTGAAAAATATGCCCAAATTACCATCCCTCAGCTCAAATTTGATTTCAAATCAATACAGAACTGATCAGAACTCAGCAGAATTGATCAGAACTAAGCAGAACTGTGCAGAACAGCTAAGAGTTGTTCAGAACCAACCAAACTTGAACTAAACAGTACTGGTAAACTTTGTTGGAACTGATTAATATGGGTTATAAATATAAAAATTAGGGGAAACAAAATGGCTTCGTTTTAAACTACTACGGTTTTCTGTTTTACTGATTAAAATTATTACCTTAAAAAATATAAGTATCACTACCAGGATTGGTTGTTCCATTAGTCTAAAACAAATTTAGAAATCAAAATTAGTTTACTAGTGGAATTCCATGTGGTTTTTGAACATGGTGCAATTTCCTAAAGTGGTTTTTCGATATTTTTCGGGACCTTATTTTCTAGATGCCATCTTCCTTCGTCTAATTGTAAAATTGGCAATGCTAATTGCACGAAAAACAAGCCAATTAGTCCGGCTAATTTTAAAAGTATTACAAAAAATTAAAGCATTCAAACGTCAAACGTATTAGTAAATAATGATTAGTTTTTATATTATCACTTGCAATTAACGCATTTAAAATATTAATATGTTGATGATTAAGGAAATTTGTAGATAAATCCAAATTGTACCACGAATAGTTGTATAACTTGGCAATAAAATAGTATAATTTATTTCTAAGATAAATTTTACTACTAGATGTAAATTTAGACCTGACGAACCTTTATAGCGATCGCAAACCGAACGTTAGACGTCGATTTCCTGACCGATTTCGTTAAAATTAAGCGTCGCGTATTCAGTCTTTTTCGAATTTTGGCTCGACTTCGATTTCGCCGCGCAGGATTCCTGCGAGCCCCTCTTGCCCGACGGCATGTCCAAATCGGCGTACACGATCCCGTTCGCCTTGACGACGCCGCCGACGCCGCCGCCCCCATCTCGGGCCGGCTCCCTGCCCGCCGGCAACGGCTGCGGATACTGCAGCTGCACCGAATTCTGCACGTTCTCCTGCAAAAGCGGCCGGCGGTCCATCAAGATGGCTCGACTAGCGCAACGGGAAATGCCCCTTTTCGTTCATTAATTAACAACTCTTGCTAAATATACTAGGGTAAGGTCAAAAGTCCTCTTCTACATAAACCCCCTCCCTCGATATCAATACTTTTGATACAGGTTCTTTCAGATTCACTATTCATTCCTGAAAGCGAGAGTCTGGAAGGATGCTGAAATAGTCATTTACGACTATCAACTTCTTCATCAGCGCTTCGCAATAAAAAAAATCTTCAATATTGGGAAGAGATAGAAGCCAATCAGGAGAACCTGGTACATTTTTAACTGCTCGGAGAACTTTCCACCATACCGACTATTGCTGATTAAATAACAAGTATTGCTGATAAACGAGAGTTGAGCATTTCCCGTTCGAGCGCCGCGATCTTAATGGATCGCTACCTGAAATTGCACGTTTTCCTGATAATCGCTGGGCCGCCTGATCACCAGCGGTCCTTTATTGCTCGCGTGGTGCTTGTGCTTATCCTTCTTCTGGTGGCGCCACCTGTGGGAGCTACCCTCGGGATAATCCGACACGTAACCGTTCCTCAGCAGGTTCTCTTCGTGTATGTTTTTGATCGGCTGAAAGTAGCTCTCGGCCGTTTGGAACTTGAAGCTGTGGCATTTCTGCAGGGGTATCTGGAAGTGGTGCTTCTTCTGCTTGGACTTGGACGAGAACGATTTGCTCTTTTGGATTTGCTCGTGGAAGAGCGATTTCGGCGCGAGTTTCGCGTGTTTCGGATGCGGTATGGTCGCCGAGTACTGCGGCGGTACGATGGGTGGGTTTAGTTGCTTGAAATTCGGAGTGGATAATGTATAGAAAGCGTTCTGGAAACAAAGTTAGTCGGTTAGCGGGGTTAGATGGTCGGGAATTCGTCGCGATTTCCAACGACAAATTCCCTTTAATGAATCGAACATGAAATAAAAATAAGCTCGAATAACACACCTGATCGGTATTAGTAACGTTATGGTTCCAATGCAGTATAGGCATTTTGGGTATATCGGCGGTTTTACCGTCGACTTTATCGATATTTTCGTTGGAAGCGACAGTTGTGGGCTTCATTTTGGCCTGCAATTGCATGGATAGAGCGCCTTTGGGGCTTTCGGTTTTGGGTTTCACGAAGTTCGGGCTGACTTTGAGCACCGGGGAGTTTTTCAACGGGTCAATTTTCGGACTGACGGCTACTAATTTAGGTTTACAATTAGCGTGAACTTCCGCTTTGGTCACTTCTGGTTCGTTGCAATTTTTGTTCAAATTCGCGTAGACTATTTCGTGTTTTTTCCTCAGACTTCTCGGAGCTGGTACAGGCATGGGGGAGTTTTCTTCTGTGATCTGGATGCTGCTTGTGTCTGATATGCTAGTGTCGTGTTTGGTGCTGGTTAAAGCAAGTTCGCTGAAGCATTTCTTGGGTAAAGTCACGATTATGGGGCGTTTTTTGGCGTGCTTTTTGCACCGCATCGAGTAAAAAGTCGGCGAATAACACCGGTGTTTTCTGATATCCAACGAACCGAAACGCTTCTCTGCTATCGTCGATAATTTCCTACAGCATTTTTTCATCGATTCTTCGGATTTATACACGTTTATTCCCGACGCTGTTGTTCTAATATCACGTCTACCGCTTATTCTATCGTTACTATTAACTTGTGGAGTAGAGTTAATGTTATTAGGTAGCCCTGAAAATGTATAAGAACCGGTAGATTGGGCAAAGTAAGATGGTAAATACTGGAAAACTTTGGGTAAATCAGACGGAACGTTCGTGAAATTGAAGTTTCCGACATTCCGTGTGCATTGGAAGCCGCTAAACGATTGGTTTCTCTTAACAGTGTTTATTAAATTTTGTTGAGATTGCAAAGGCGATTGGTAATCTAAGGTTTGGGTCGATGAAATCAACGATTTTTGCGATAAAGTCGACGGTAAAAGTTTGCGAGCTTGATTGCGTTGATGGAAAGGGGCTATAATGGATATGGGCTGCAAAAAAAAAACATGCAAAATTAAAACAAAAAAAATACATGCAAAAAAAATCGAGCAGAACTTGCCACCGTTTCGAATTCTTACTTTATTTGGTGGATTTTGGATGCCGTGGAAAGGCAGATTTTCGTAGAATCCCCCGTCGGGCTCACTTGAGGGGTCCGCTGTACCTCCAAGAGGTAGGCCAACCCCAAGCCTCGGTTTATCTTCGGTAGAGGACATGTTGGGCGCTGAAAAAATCAACGAGTCAATCAATTCGATCTGCAGAATCAATTAGAAGTGTTATATTCTCAAGCAGAAGCTCACACATTCGTTTAAATCTATCAAATATACTCGTGGTTTTACCTGATCCGGGCTTTTTTCTCTTCCGGCCTCGGGCGGGCGGGTTCCGGGGCGGAGAATTGCGTTGGACCCTTCTAAATGTCACAACTAACATGCAAAATAAACGATCGAAAATGCAACGAGATGCAACAAAAAAATAAGCTAGCAATGGCGAAAATTTGTTTATCATTAAATCGCGTAAATTTGACTAAATTAACGAACATTTTTCAGGTTTATTCCAAATAAGTACATCGAGAATTCTTATAGTAGATATTAGTAGTATTTTCCCACATTACAAATAATTGACAAACAAATTTTATCCTAAAATACGAATGTTCAATGGCGCAGTTAATTTATTATAATTTGTAGTTTCATAATTTTCATAGTAAAAAATAATTGATAATATTAGCTGCACCATTGTTGAATCAGAGACGTAACCAGATTCACATTACCGCAATTATTAATAATATTATTGTCAAAAAGAATTTTTTATAGCAAGAAATATTTAAAGAGGATGGAAATTTCTACGAAATTATATCTTGTTGGAAAATTCTGATTTTCCCAATAAATCTAACTTCCAATCGAATCACTTTCTAGTTACGCCCCTGCATCGAATCTTTCTTACCTCCGCCGGCGCTCTCTTTGATACCGCTCGGTATCCTTTCCCGGCCCTTTTTCACCCCCAAAAAGCTAGCGATCCGCTCCAATCTGTAGTAAATTTTCGACTTGTTCCGTTTGTACTTGGAACACTTGGCGAATTTCCGCAGCGTCACCACCGAGGTGGTTTTGTAAGGGGAGCTCCTCGCCGATAATTGGCTAATGCTAATGTTATTCATTTTGTTAATGTGGATGAGCACGCCCGGCTGCAGCGGCCATTTCGCTTGATCCGATCCGTCGGGAGATTGGCCCTCGGGGCTGTTTTCGATACGATACAGATGAATATTTTAGCGAAATATAGACGAGAGAATTGATTCTTTTAAGGATAATGTTAGAGACATTAAAACTACGACTACAGTACTTGCTCAATACCGGAAAATCCAACATTTCCAGGCGTTCGTCTAGTGTATTGTAAACCCGCAAGGGACAGGAAAAACAAAGAACAACAACCGACCCATCTACTGTAATTAAGCCGCATTCCCAAGCATGCACAAAAGTGAAAGGAACCAACAAACGCCAGAGAGACTGGCTGGAAAATCGCCGTGTTATAATTATAACGTGTACAACAGTCAAAAGTAAATGCGAATACGAAATAACACACAGATACCTTGGTTTCCCAGATAAGTTACCCTACCGCAGGGCACTAAAGGTAAGCCAAGTACGTCGGGACTTTGCGTGCACAGAAACCTAAGAAGGGCAGTATAACATGTTAATTAAGTTAGTCAAATTTAATGGAAGCCGCGAATATTTGCAACAAATTTTCGCTCTAGCTACTGTTCAAAATCGCAATAGTTTACCTTGTTATGGCAGTTCGATTAAGTTGGAATATAACTAATTTCATTTAGTAATTTCGTCTAGTTACCCAACAAGTTTCTCAACTTTATAAAAAATAACGTATAATTTACATGTGCAAAATAACATTTCAATTGATAAGTATCATTTCGATTTGCAAACTTTCATAAATTTGCTCGTTATAAACTATTGGGCATTGAAGTAATTTACGTTCGGTTTAATTCGCGAGTGTCAGACCGAAATTACTGGAAAATGTAATTAGTTAATTGAGTTTCGAAGTTGATTAGAGTTTCCTATTCCACGTTTTTAGCGAAAATGCAAAATGGCTACAATTCAATTGGCAAATAAGTGGGTGCAAAACTATGTGACACCGTCGGAAATGCACAGGTTTTCTCAACAGTGAAATCGCTTTAATTTAATCGGATAGTTTTTAATGTCGTTTATTCGCTAATGAGAAATCTGCATTAAATATTTGCCAGATTTTAATTATTTGTTTGTCAGTGAGATGCGGATAATTAAAATCCAGCGAATCAGGTGCAAACATGTTACTGTGCATTTACATTTATGTACAGTAAGTGTTGTTAATGGTAATTGATTCTGTGATTTTCCTGTGAGCTTTTTTATTTTTTATGTAAATGTTAATGTCACGATCAAAAAAAACTAAATCCTTTCTAAGCAAAATTGAATTTAATGAACGTTTTATTTGTTATATGAGAAGTCGAATTTATTTTTATTTACTTGTTTATTACGCTCAATTTTAAGACCGTCACAGAATCGATACATAATAGAACTAAGCCATAACATCAGGCAACACTTTCTTACTCCCTTACTAATCTTAATAAAATTTTATACAGGGTGAATCACCATTTTTCTTCTTCATTTAACAACTGTATTTCATCATTTAAAAATGACTCACTCTGTATACAGATAATTAAATCATTCCAAATAAAACCACCACCCCGATATTTACACCAATTAATTTTCTAACACACCAGAAATTATATTAGCACAAAAAACTTACTTTTCTCTTTCCTCCATTTCCAGCGGACTATTGTCTGTTGTTAGCAAAAAAAGACAAAAAATATACAGATAAACAAAACGCAAAATCACACACAATCAATATTTCGCTTATAAAACACAAGTAGCAATTATTTTATTAAATTAAGCTATAACGATTAGGACTTCTTAATCTATCGGTTAGAATGGTAGCACCTAACGCGGAAAATAACTCACACTTTGTATCGGCCCTCTTCCTCCTGCACAAAATGATGATAATGATGCAGATTATTATCACGAAAACTATCACCGCCACTATCGACGCGATAATGATGATCATCTTCTCTTGATTCAGCTGCTTCCACCACGAGAGGTTGCCTGTCAATAAATTAAAACCTCAGCAAGTCTTCAAATTAATTATTGAAGGAATACTAAAGGATATTGGTGGATACTGGAAGACATTGGAAGATATAAGAAGCTGTGGAAAGGCATGAGAGGGCATCGGAAGGTATTGGAGGACATTGAAAGACATTGGAAGACATTGGAAGACATTGGAAGGTACTGGAAGCAGATAGATTGATATTGGAATGTAATGGAAGTGATGTTTCCATTTCAAAAAGAACCTATTATTTGTTCCTTACCTGCGACCTCTCTCTTGCAAGCACTACTATGTCCTATCAAGTTGTGGGCGACGCAATAGTACGTCCTGTACGTTTCTACGCTGGAATCGAGCAATAGATAGCTCTTCAATTTGTCATTGACGATGTTGTTCGTTTCGTTAAATGTTTCGTTGCCTTCTTTCACCGTCCAATTGAACGTCATCTCCTGGGGATTTCCTATGGCGGTACACACCAGAGCTGGTGTGCCATTTTTGTCCACAGTGGTTATCGTACATTCGGGGGGATCTACAAAATGTAATAGAATAATCTATATAGCATCTTCGATAGTGTTAAATTTTTCTTATTCAACGATGTAGTTCATAGACAATCTGCTTACATTGCACATTAAAATAAACCGTGGCAGTCATTGATCCGTGCTTGTTGGATGCTTCGCAAATGTAAGCGGCGTTGTCGCTTCTCGTCAATTTCGGCAGAACTAGTAAATCGTTGTTGGAAATCGGTTCGGATGTGTAATTCTTCTTCCATTGGAAGGTGAGGGTCGGTCTACCTTTTCCCGTGCACTTTACAGACGCCGGAACTTCGCCTTCTTTCACGTTGACCATTGGAGAGCTGGCTCGGACATCTTCTGGAGGATCTAGAAATAGCGAAGTTGATGAATTTGTAATTTGCAATGTAGCTAATACTTACAATCAACAGCGATTTCTGCGGTGGAACTGACGCCGAGACCGATTTTATTCGAAGTAGCTTGACAGGTATAATTCGAATTCGAACTGGTCTTGTTCAACATTTGTCCGGGCCATGCGGTCAAATTCCAAATCTATCAAACACAATCGGTTTTAAATACAATTTTTCTTTTATGGATAAACAGATCCGCAGACTTACCAGCGTGGAATTAACCGATTCGAAATCGTTTTTCTGCGGATTCGAAGGCAGGAAATGCGTTTCCAATTTGTACAGGGGATTGTGCACGGGATCCAAGTTAACGCCGTCTTTGTACCATTGTATGGAACATTCCGGATAACACTCCACTATGCACGTCAAATTCACGTGTTTGGATGTGTACAGGATGCCTTGGTACGTCGGAGGTTTCTTCGTGAACGCCGGAGCAGCTGAAAACAATATTCATTTTATGCACTAAGAATCTCCATTGAAGATTATATAAATTACCATAAACGTGGACGAAGACGCTGGCCGGTTCACCTTTGCCGCCCTCGTTTACGGCTCGGCACGAAAAGTTGTTCCTCGTTTCCAAACCGACTGAAGTTATGTTGTAAACCGATTTTGTTACGTTGGACAGCACGTGAGATCCCCTGTACCAAATGTAACTGACGTTGTCCGGTCTACCAGTCGATTCTATTGTGCAGGTTAATGTTACAAAACCTCCTTTAACCACCTTCGATGGGGAGTATCGAATTTTAGCAGGACCCGGTGGATCTGCGAAGTAATATATCAATGTTAAATTGAAAACTCGAGCTGTAATAATTAGGGATTGGGTGAAAAGATAGGAAGGTACATTCAAGAAGTATATGGAAGAGGTAAATTTGAAGAGGTAAATTTGGAGAGGTAAATTTGCAGAGGTAAATTTGGAATGGTTAATTTAAAGAGGTAATTTGTAGAGGTAAATTTGAAGAGGTAAATTTTGGAATAAAGCACAGGAAAGCACGACAAAAAATTCACCAGTACAATCCATCATTTCCGAAGGGAACTTACAATAGACGACCAATTCCTGCGGCTCGGAGACGGGTCCCCAGCCGCCTACGTTCATTCCTTGGCACGTATAGTTGCCGGCGAAGGACTCGTCCACCCGTTCGAGGCTCAATATGCTGGGATCCAGACCGCAAAAGGGGCCGCCGTTACCTTCGCCCTGCCCGTTCTCGTCGATGCTCGTGTAGTTACATTCCGGAAATTCCTTCATCAATTCCCCTTCGAGGAACCAGCGGACCTGCAACAGCGGCGAAACCGCCGCAGCGTAAACAAATTGATAGTGACTATAACTATATGTACATCGTCCCGAAGTCATTTAGGTAAAGTTAACTCGGGGATGAGTGAACTTTGGTCGGTAAGTTTGGCTTACTTATTTTTGTTTCGCTGGAAATTTTGAAGCCTTAATTACGCGCAAGGCAAAAGTCAAAACTTTTGTGAAGCTTTCATCGGAAATAGAACTTTTAGTATACTATACCTTAAGAAGAGACGAAGGATTTCCCGAAGTAACGTTACACATCACAATAACAGTACGTCTGTCAGTCGATTTGATCGGATAGAACGGCTCCATTAGCACTTCCACATCGGGCGTATCTGAAACAGGCGAAATTAATTCAATAACATTTAATTCAATCGTTTTTTTCGCCTGCAAGTGTGCGAATTTATCGATGCTTACATAACACATTAAGCGACACGCTTTCCGGAGATACTTCGGTGCCGATAGCGTTCCCCAGGGAGCACTTGTAATCGCCCATGTCTTCGCGAGCAATGTTATTTATGTACAGGGGCGGGTTGAAATTGGTGCCGCCGACGTACTTTTTCGTGTCGTTCGTTAAAAACGGCTTGCCGTCCTTTAACCTGCGTGATAGAAAAATTTGTTTGATTGTACGAAGATTCCGGATATGTTTTTAGTAAGCGGCAACGCCGCGTTTTAAAAAGTTCTGGATGAGTCAGAAAAATGAAGTAAATTGTAAAGGAAAAGCTTCTGCTTGTTGTGTTGCAATTATGATGAAAGTTTGCAGGGGACTTACCAGGTAGCTACCAAAAGTTCTTGAGGATTCGCATAATAGAGGCATTGTAAAAATGCACTGGTAACATTGGAGTCTGTTGATTCGTTAACAACGGCATAAGTTGGTTTTACTGTTATTACTGGTGGATCTAAAAAATAACAAAAATATAAGACATAAAATTTAATTCCTGTTGAAACAGCAGGTTAAAAGGAGTTCGGTGGGAAAAAAGCTAATGGATTTATACCATTATTCTTTCGCATAAAAAACAGTTAAAATAAGTATTCGAGAAAATCACACTTACATCGAACATCCAAAATAATGCTCCTCGAGAACTCGGGCTCGCCGTTTTTCGTCATAACCTCGTTATCTGTGAAGCAGTAAATCGTTTTTCCGTTTTCCCAGTGACTCGCCTTGAACGATAGCGAACTAACCGTAGTGAAAGTTCCGTCTTTCTGTAAATCAAAAGACATAAGATTGGTTAGTTCCTTACTTTTCCCGGCATAATAAATAAATTTGCGCATTTCCAAGGATTTGTTTCTCACAGCGGCAACGCCGATATTTCAAAAAATTTCAAACTATGAGCCTCAGGAACATTTTTGACCAGCAAACTTAAAGATAAATTTTTTTCTTGCAACATAATCCTGAAATAGAATAACCCGTTTCGGAATTATACGATCATCTTCAAGCTCCTTACGATTCGATAGGTCTCACTTTCACCATCAAAATCAACAATTTCTAGCGGGAAAAACCAAATCCACGTTTTATTTTTCTCGGCGATAAACATGTGCTGAGTCGAGAGGAGCAACGCAAACATTTGTTTTTCGCTTCGCGAAATTTACATAAGATATTCATAGTACTTGAAAGGCTCTTAAAGCGGGGACTTTCTAAAGTTAATACTCCCCGAGGATTTGTTTAATGCATGTTTAATCCGCTCTTTTCATTTGCGCCCGACGTTCGCTTTAGTGACATGTCAGCAAAGCACAATTTCCCTATGAAGGATTTATTTTCGTCTTTAAAGGTCAATTTCAGTTATTAAATTGCATAAATGCATAACTTAGTAATGACTGCACGTTCTTAACTTAGTACAGAATTGTTTTGCATTGCTCTGTACCTAAACTATATCATTCTGAACTTTACTAAAACTGATTTGCAATGCAATCAAGTTCTGAACCTTCCTTAAAAAATCTAAATAAAACGTAATATAGGGATATTGGAGAAATCGAAGGAAAAAAATGGTGTAAGAAACAGCCCGAAGAAAAATAAAACAAATCCACGATCCTTCGCTCCTGTGCAAAGCATTTTATAAAACGGTCGAAAAGTCGAGAGATTAATATTACTTTCAATGACACCTCAATCTAATCCGGACCTTTTCCTTTATCATTTCAAGGACGATTGGGTTGCAGGTATTGGCATATACATCACATTCGATCCTTTTCAATCACTCGACCGAGGCGGAAGAGCAAATGGGGATTTTTTCCGGGATTCCTCGGATGGCTTTGTAAATTCACCAATGTTGCCGCTATCGAAGAAAACAACACGAAGTTGAGTAAATTAAAGGTTGATAATTTTAAAGTCTTAATGGTGAAATTATAAAATACCCACGAATTTACGGCACGTACTAAAACGACTTGTCTTATTAGTGAACGTGCGGGAAATTCACTGAAAATAAAAAAAGGAAAATATCACATTAGCATCGAAATGAGTTTTCCTTTTCATCGTCGTTCATACGGATTCATTTAATGACCGTACAGCTTAAAGAAAATGTTCTAAGTAATTTAAAGTGTTATAAATGTGTTTTAGGGGTTAGATAGCGCCCTTTAAGAGTTTTCTGCGGACGAAATGCGAAAAAGTTGCCGGGCCGTAATCGCTAGATTTCAGCAGATTTTCTTTTAATTACTAGAAATAAAATTCTTACGAAACCGAATTAACAGAAGACGAATAATAAAATATTCTTTAAAGATATCGTTGTTTTAAGAAGGATTTTATTTCGATGAATACGCATACTACATAAACTATCGCAGAATTTCTAAAGCCGTCTCTGCATCAAGCGGAAAATTCACCTCACGACTCGCTATAAATCTCGGTTGAAATAAAAAAAATGCTTGCATTAACATGCTAACATGGACATGAAACGAGTAAAGGCAATACTAAAGATCATTATTTTCCTTACCTCTTCGATGTATCTCGTATTTATCGGACTCTGAAACAAAACCAATAAAACGTTAGCGTAAAAATATAATTTACAAATTTTCTCAAAATAAAATATAATTATCCAAGTTTCGCCTTTCTCGAGGCAAAGCGACAAAAATTACATTTTAATGAGAGCTGTCGTTGAAATATAATAAGATACTCGTGTTAAGTTAGGCGAGAAGGGAGAGTAAGTAGTGATATAAATCAAAGAAATAACGGCGGTAATGAGGAACATTTCCGAACAACTCCTATTTACATAGTTAAAGCGCTAAATTCTTTGAAGCTTGAACGAGGAATCAGTATAGTTCATGCTGAGTTTAAAGGGTAGGTTGCCCCATTTTATATTGCATTATTTGGTTACTCAGCCAGTTAAACAATTTCGGAATCCCCTTAAATCTCCTTAATTTACAGCTCTATCTCGAAGTAACCCAGATGGGCGAGTTTCGGCGCTTCGCGGGAGAAAAATTCCGCTCGTCTCCGGCGATAAAAATCAGCGGTTTAGCGTGAAAGACGGTCTTCGAGATATGACTTACGAGGTCATCTGTAGACCGGCTCGAAATTAAGAATTGTTACCGTCGCGACGGCGACCCTTTGTTCTCATATCTTTTAATTTAAGTCGGATTTCATTTCTCGTAAATCCGGCGGTTTTTTTACTCTCGAAGGAATCCCCTGTGTTCCGGGCGGGCACTTCTGCTTGGATTTCAGACCCGTCGAGTAATTTCATTAATTTAAGAAACGGTTGTATTAGGGTAGTGGAAGGTTATGTGCGATGATCGGGAGGAAAATCTCCGGTTTTACAGGACCGGGAATTTCGTGTCGCGCCGGGGATAAACGGTAAATCGGTAGACCCGAACTATTAGGTGTCTACATCTGGCAAGTAGTTAATTTGTCAAATGAATCCGGTCGATTTCGTGATTGGAACTAATCCTATACTCGACGATAAGTAACAATTACAGCCAACAACCGTATCAATCAATCCATCAAGGGGATAAATCGATATCGTTGAGTCCACGAATTAACGTGGAGATGTTCCCAGTTACGGTTAATTCTACCACTTTATATTGTTAGGTTTTTTGATTCGAATAACCGGACGTAATTGTAGCGGTAGAGAAAATTGCAATACAATTATTTATTAACTTTATCAAAAGCTGGCAAAAGTCTCATTAAAACTTCTGCTAAAGACTCCTGTTATGTCTTGTTATTTTTTGGTATCCCACGAATCAATATCAAAGAAAAATCCGGTGATAATCGGGTGTTATATAAAAACTTCCTCACCTCTAGCGTTAACTTGTCGAAGTTTTCTTCGTCGATTGAAGATGAACCGTTGGCCCAGCGGACGTTAGCGGCGGGTCGGGCGCCGAACACTTTGCAATCCAATTTCACGTTTGTACCTTGAACAACGTGGTTTTCGACGCCGGTTAAATTGATGTCCGTGGGTCGCACTGAAACGGAAAATTAAATTTGTTAACATATTCAGAAATTAACGATTGGAAGAATGCCTCAACTAACCGAAACTGGTGGTTTGATCAACGAATTTCGAATGAATTTTTAACGGCATCTTGTAGCAAAATTTAAGGTAGTTCATTAAGTTTACTCTCTTGTTATACATGTAACAGTAGAATTTTTCTATTCTTAAAAGAACATTTTTGCATTAATATTTTTACCTAATTAAGGCAGTCATAAAAATTAGCTTTCAACTTCTGCGTCGGAAAATTCCTAAAGGGTTAATGAAATATTCGCAAAATATGTAAATACACGGGTTACTCGTTTATTAAATACAAAAAACTGCGAGGTTCGCTTAATTATAATTGCAACATACAGGATTTTTATTCGGTCATGTCGCCGTTAACAAGAGAACTTTTATTATGTAGTAAATTTTATTCAAATTTATGTCAATGTAAAGAAAAATTCAAATGAAAGGCAGCAATTACGAAAAAAACTATATTAAATGACGAATTCAAATAAAATTAATATTTTATGGTTAATAATCTAATTCAAACAATTATAGGTAAAAAAGCTCGATTTTACGTATGAATAAATCATATCCTTTGGAACTTTGTTATATGCTAACAACCCTTTAACTAATTATTATGTTACAAACTCCATCAGAAATTCCATCATAATAGCTCATTCCAATTTCCATGCCACTGTTTGTTTCCACCGATTTTATTTCCTTAATAAACGAAATAGCGCTCGCGCTCACCTCGCGGAATTCGAAGCAATTCTCGAACATATCGCGTATATATTTTCCGGACGGCTTGACCGGACTCCCATGGCAACTAATTAAAAATTTTGTTATTGTTACGCCTTCGCCTGATTTCACCGTATATCGACGCGGGTTATTACGTCCCACGCTCGTTTCGACCTATTTGCATAACGGCTTCGCGATTTTCCGGGAAACTGTTACGCAGAAACGAAAACCTCCGCGCCGGATAAGTTTCTGGATATATTGGCCGCGTGAGAAAATCATCATCTGCGTTTTCATCGATGGAAATCGACGCGATTCCCTCGCCGAATCGAATTCTCCCGTTTTCCCGCTAAGTTGCTAAATTTTCAGGTGATGCGTTAAAGCTTTACGAAGTTTTTTCGGAATATAAATCGATGAAAAAACTCATCGATCGCCCGGCATAACAGCCGCGGAAATTCATTAAAAAAATCCGTCGCAAAACACTCGAAAATGCGAACGCTCGAAATTATAATAATAAGCGAAGCGCGTCGGGAAAACGCCGTCCCGGAGTTTGGCATTCCGGTTGGCACGTTCCGGAACATACTTGTCGCCTTTCCCGCCCTTCCTCGACGTCTCTTCGAGCCATCCGCCCGCTCTTTTCGAATAACTTTATTACGGCGTCGGAGAGAAGAAACGGAGGATCGAACAGAACCGGACGGTACCGGACCGAACAGGATTTTTTTATAAATCCGGGCGAAGGAATATGATTAGAAAGCTGTATTACAGTGTATTAGAGAATAGAAAATAAGTTTCATAAAAGTATATTTGTTTAAAACAATTCAATTTAACTAAATAAGAAAGTTAATTTTTAATACCTCCCTGGTGAGTGCCGTAAAAAAAAAACGTAAAATATTTTGGATTTTTTTCTTCGTAACGGAGAAGAAATTTACAGGACTTGGGGTAATTTGATAACGCTCAGCCCTTAGGGTGGTTTTAATGAAGTTACCGGGAAGGCGGTTCTTCGACTGGAATCCACATGTATTTTAATTTCGAATTAACTATTGTTTTATTTTTATACGGTACTTTTATTTTCGTTTTAATTACTTTCTTGGCGCATCTTCGTTAATTAAATTCATAGCGTTTTTTCGCTGATATTTTATAAATAATGAGGTTTTTGTTGGGTAGAAAAAGGTTAATTTGAATTTAATTAATTTTAGCCAGTTTTAATGACGTTATTGTTACCAGTAGATTTTAGTGTTAAATAAATAAAAAATAGGTCGTCCCCTGGCATGTAAAAACATTTACTCATTCGTATAAAAATTCGATTTCGGTTAAATTATATTTTCCGTAAAGAAATTGACCTTGAAAACTTTTTTTTCCAAGACCGTTAACTTTCGAGTCTAGTCCCCCCTGAAAGATACTCGCTCGTTTCGCAAAGCCTTTCCGACAAAGTTCCACCCATAAATACCGGTCGTAAAATAAAGTTTATCTTTGGCCCCCTCTGCAGCGCTCTAAAGATAGTTGGGTCGCTTTTTTTCCTCTTCTTCTCCGAATCTTTATGGGAATTGGTCGGGAATAGTGGTTTGAGGTACCCACCAAAAATTTTATTATTTTATTTTATTTTTTTAAATAAATAAAAAAAGTAAAATTCAAGATAATTTATTCATTAAATTCAATTAATTCATATTTTATGTATAGCTCTGCTTTATTTTTGTATTATCATGTTGGTTTAATGTAGTAAACATTACATATAAAAAAAGTTAAAAATTAAAAAAAAATACGAATAACATTTACTGTTATTTTTAGCTTGTTTTTTGTAAATTTCGAATTTCTCAGTAGGTACCCCTTTCACTAGAATGTAATATCAGAGTTGTATGGTCGGTTTTGCGATAACAAAAACGGCAGTATAGAAGGAAATGTGATATGTGATATCTATGTAAAATGGCGCCGTAAAAAACATTGTTGCACACGCTGTTCCCCCTTTTACTGCCAACATGTTTTACGATACACTAAAAAGATTAAGAAAACGGCGGAATGTAATTAAAAATACAAACTTTCAAATTCGATTCTGTCATGAAAGTTCCAGCACGGAATAAATTTGTACATAACCATGGATAATTATTTCCTCGTCCCCCATTTTTTACGACCCCATAAAAATACAAAAAATAAGTGTATTAATATACATGCGCCCCCTAAGCAACCCCCCCGGATTTATCGATTTTTATAGTAGGTAGAAAATTAGGAAAAATTAGGGAAAGTAAAAAACTCACCGTGAACATCGATCTGGACCCAAGATATGATTGGTTCGTCGAGGGCCTCGCTCTCGACCCTGCACTCAAACCGAGCCAGTAAATCACCCCTTTTGAGAGTCAACTGTAAGGTCGATATCCCCGTTTCCACTCCGTCCACAGACTTCGTTACCGTGTATTTAGCTGAAACAGAAGAAATACGTTTTTATTAGAAAATTACATTCAAAAATAATTTTCGAAATAAGCAAGATTTCACTCAGGAAATTTTATCTGCAAATGAATTGGAGTTTTCAAAAACGAATCAATGCATTAATGCGAAATCCAAAAAATAATATATTACGTTTGTATCGGGGTATGTATTACACCAATTTACATGCAAATCGAATTACATGTACATTGGCTTTAATGTCAATTTATTCGAAATCAGTACAAATGATTAATTGAACGATATCGAATGCAAATAAATCGAATGTAATTTGAATTCTTGAAATTTAATTTTGTCAAGTCGTTACGAGCCGATTGTTTCAAATTAAATGAAAATATTTTATAGCAGGTACAATAAAATTGATGCGCTAAATTAATGCTCAAGATACTTCTTTGTACATCTAATAATGAGCTTTATTTTTATAAAATTTTGAACAATCACAATCGATTTTTTTGAGTCACCCTATATAATTCTGTTTTCATCTCAACTATCATTATGCTAAATTCCCTTTCTCGAATTTCGTGCTCGAATAGGTAATTCAGAGCGGAGTCTCAAACGAGTCGGAGCCGAATTAAGTGTTGATTCCTTATTGAAATCATAAATTGAACCGAACTAACTTAGGTCTTAGGTCAAGTTAATCGGCGCCCGGAAGTTGCGGGTTGCTCGGTTTCCTCGGCGGATATAATAGCATTTTACGCTAAATTATAGCATCAAAAGTTGATAATGTGATAACAATACCGGCGGGGGCTCGGTCTCGTCGAGTCGGCGGGGTGGCCCATTGGAGTTCCGAAAATTGGATTGCCCTAGTCGAAGGTAATCGAGTTGCCCTTTCCGAACGTTTCGCGAATCATTTCGCGTTTTACGAGAGCGAAAAGGGGTCCTTTAATCCGGTTTTGATCTAATTTCATACATGTCCCGAGTTTCGTTATGGGCCCTACGGTTTCCGGATCAATTCGAAACAGAAACTTTCTATTAACCAATAATAATCCGTACAAAGGACCATTTCATGTCGATTGATCAATCGACTATACACTTTTAATGGGTCGTCCTGACTCTATTTAAACATAATAGCAAAAGCATATTTACATTTCCCTAATATTGAATTTTTTTAGATAAAAAAGTCTTTACTAACTTCTAGGAAATATTTAGGAAATAGAATTATTATAAGGTACAGTAATCATCAATAATAATAAAAATATATCACTTTATTTAAAATCTACCCAAAGTCTAACGTCGGACAGATAATTTGACAAAAGTAAATAAAAAGAATAATAAAAAGAACATGTCCTGTACGAAATAACTCCAGCAAGAAGTTGCAACTATCCTGTCGCGAAATATCTATCCAGCTAGCGATGACATCTTGAGACACAATCGAAAATAAAGCAAAGTAGAGAGGAAAAAAGAAACGAGCGGCATCATATAAGTAAAAACTTTTCGGTGTGGATAAATCGGCGAGACTCCGAACAATGGCGCGGCGTCGGGAAAGAGTTTTCCGAACTTTCGGAAAACTAAAAACTTCCTTTTTACTCGCCTCAGATGAAGTAATACGACCAATGTCGCAATGACATCCCTTCCGTCCTCTTTGATATCGTACACCCTGTAATCGATAGACGAATTCGACTCGAAAACTTTAGGGCTAAATATTAATAACATTACAACTAACTAAAAAAGTAATTAGGTAACTTTTCTAATATTTACGCGAATTAATAATAAATTGGGCCGAATACACTACCAGCATAATAAATTACCCGCAATTAAATGTTTAATTTCCGGAGTCGTTCGTAGAAATAAATCACTCAAAATGACCGGAAAAAACCGTTTCGACTGGTAATCCTTGAAATCCTTTACCCTAAAAAAAATGAACCCGACCAGACGGCTACACATTTAATTAAGGTGCGCCCCAATCGGTTTATACGCCGAGAAACGAAAAGAATCCGGGGACTTGATCTCTGAACTCGGAAAAGGAAATCTGACGTTATCGACTCCGATAGACTACAAAAGAAATTCGCAATTAAGAACTTATCCACGACAAATTAAACACCTCGATCCCTTCGGCATACGTCCCTAAAATAGCCAATCAATCAGTCGTTCGACTTGTTCGCTCCCGAGAGGTTATTTAAGCTACATTTTAGTCGAATACAAAGGCAGGTAAAGCACATGCGGGTAAATACATAATGGCAGACTCGTTATACATTTAATAGGAACAAAGCGCACTTTCTTGCATTCAATCGCGTACCGAGCGACGGCGTCGGCGTCGGCGTAACGGCGCGTCCCACGGCCGCTTTCAATCGGAATAATCAGGTTACGACTGATTGGATTTCGGGGGGCCCGTAAGTCCTTTTATCCGATATTGCTTTTATTAATGCCATTAAGGAGGCTCTTACGTTTCGGGCTAATTCGATGACGAGGTGCCCGATGAATTTTGCCGCGCGCGTCTCTTTCCCTTGTCGCCCGTGCAAACCGCGCGAGAAAGACAAGAACGGCGACCGGTAATTGATTTTCCTTTAAAGAGTATCAGGAAAAAGTAGGTCGCGTCGAGATTATTATCGTCGTAGAGGCGATTTTAAATTGTTCAAATGAGTTGTAATACGTACAATGAAGGTAAGTTAATCAGCTTATTGTTCTACCAGAAGTCTGCAGTTGAGCCATGTCCCAACCTGTTTGCGACACACTATATTTATGCAATTAAAAATCTATGAAAGTTGAATAAATATTCCACCGAGACGGCAAAAATCTCGGGTTAAAAATCGGATCCAATCGAATAAATACTTTAATCCTGGGAAAATCCGGTCAAAGTTCGAGTCCTGACGTCGGCGAAATCGGCGCAACGTCCGGCGTATTTTCCTCCAGAATATCACCTTACGCTCATTCGGACACATTTCTTTCGACGGTTTTATTACGCGAAAGTAAACTCTTATTAAATTAACTTCACGTGAAGACGTCGCAGGATATTCCCGTCATTAATCATACCCGCTGGTGGGGCTTCGCAACGAATCTAACGTTTGTCACGCCCGGCGTCGACGGATTTATTTCAATGTCGAAATATCTCTTTTTTGTAACTAGCAAATCTCGCACGAGATAATCGATTTCTTCACAAATTTAAGGAGTTTGTAACAGATTTTTTACTAACACCACATCTTGTTGCCTACAGGCTTTAATTGCGTCGATTATATAGCTTAAATCAGTTGAAAATGACATCATTAGAATCTCCTGCACAACCGTATTCCTGCGATATCGCGCGCTGAACTCGATGCCCTAAACAATCGTACGCGCCGCGTTGTTCGTTTTATGATTACTTATCTAAACTCCCGGGTTGGAAACTGCAACTTCTCTTCATCCTGCTGAGACGACGACACTTTGTTTGCCATGCAACTATAACAAGCCGGCAGGATTAACGTGCGGCTCAGCGTTTATTTCGGTTCTGTTCGGAACGAAATAAACCCGGCTCGGGTTAATGAAGTAAACTAATAACAGCATTGCGTTAGTCGGTTAAATTGTACGTAGATATTCCTGCTATCGGAAAACTTATGCTGGTATAAAATACCTGTCAATAACAGATAGTCCTTCGGGGACTTTTCTCGATAGACTCGTACAAGTTTTAAATCGAAGTCGTATTTCGTTGTAGCGGAATGTCGCCGTTTTATCGGTTGTCTGCAATGCAACCAATCATTCGATAGCCTAGTTTTCTACTCGAATAAAATTAAGTATAAAGGGCGGCCCAAACTCTAAAGCTCACGTTAATTCTCTCGCTAACGTAAAAAAACTATCTAATTAATAAAAAAGACGCCTAATCCGGTCCTAAATCACCGTTATCTCTAATCTAGCAACGAGGTAGCGATAAAAATCCTGCGAACTAAAAAAAATCCTGCTGCATAGGCGGAATCGAATTAAAAACGGGGCGATATATTTCTTCGGCGCAAATCCCGCACGACCTCAAATCCGTCGAGGCCTGACTGATAGCGGGCCCATAAAAAGGCTCCGGGGCGAGAAAAGCCCGACGTCCGTTCCGGTTAGGCCTCGAATTCCTTCAACAGATATAAATCTAACGACTTCTGGACTCGTCCAACTCGAGACGATCATCTCGAGCTATATGGAGGGCTGGAAGGTCGCGCCACAATGGACTAGAGAGATTTCGTTTAGTTGATGGGCCGAGTTTTACTCGGAATTTATGGAAATAACCATTAAAATGTCCCGCCAGAAATCGAATAAAGCATCGGCAATTGTTGTTTGTTTGATTTCAGTGTATTTTTTCTTCGAATTTATTTAAGTAAGAGCTCGTTTATTTACGATAGCGTACAGTCTAACAAACAGGAAAAACCTTCAGGGCACGTTGTAGTTAAAAGGATAAGCTTCTCTAGGAGGCGCTCTGGCCAATTTCCTCCCTTTGGACCGACAAGGGTATAAGTTGTTGGAGATGTCGGGGTAACCGGAGATGAAAATGAGGCTTTTCGATACAACGCCGTGAAATATTCAACGAATTTTCGACCCGCTTGTGTTTTTTTTATCTCGGACAGTATAAAGCTTTTTAGATTTTCATCGGATTGACTCGATTTCGTTAAAGGTCGCATTAAATTTCGCCAATCAAATCAGCAAAATAAATCGAGGATAAATATTTACAAACAATTCGATATTTAATGAATTGTAAAACGCTGGGATTATAGCTAGAATATAAAATTTCATTATGCTTCGGTAATAAATTAGCTGGTAGATTTACCAGCGATTTAATTGACATCGACTAGTTAATAATAGGTTACAGTTACACAGAAAACAGCGTAATTAATTATCCGTTTTAACATTTTGATATTCGTGTAACGGCTTCTGCGAACTGCAATATAAAGTATGTAAAAGTTTCCGCCGAACGAAGAAATTTCCGCGGAGAAATATGATTTCATTTGGAAACCTACATGCCGTAATGAAGCAGTATTATTGTTCCGTTTCCTTCTGTTCGGGCTTTATTAGCGAAGTTGTTTTAATTCGC